ATAGAATAGAATAGAATAGAATAGAATAGAATAGAATAGAATAGAATTCAATTCTTTATTGGCCAAGTGTGATTGGACACACAAGGAATTTGTCTTGGTGTAAATACTCTCAGTATGCATAAAAGAAAAGATACATTCGTCAGGAGTCAAGAATCATAAGGTACGACACTTAATGATAATGATAATGATGAGAGAGAGATAAGAAAAAAAAATGAGACAGAGAATTGAAAGAGAGAGAGAGAGAGAGAGAGAGAGAGAGAGAGAGAGTGAGAGAGGGAATGAATGAATGAATAATGTTAAATGGATCTCCGGAAAATTACTTGCCTGGCAGGAAAGTAGAAATAAACTGTAAAATAAAAACAAACACCCTCACCGCCTTGCAAATGACTCTCAATTTGTTTTGCTCCAAACAATGGAAATATATAATTGAAAATTATAAATTGTTCCTGGGAGGAGGTGACCCTCTTTTCTTTTTGGAATGGAAGCAGTAAATTAGAAGAATTTCTTTCATCCCAACTCTATAAACAGCTTCCTGGGTGGCACGTGGATTGAATCCCTGTCACACGTGCAGCAGTAAGTGAAGATGGGGTCTGTATGATTCCAGAAGAACCCTAATGGTTCATTGGAAGATATTTTTCTTCAGCATTCAGGTCAGTTGGATAAAACAAGTCCACAAGTTCTTGGTTTTCTTTTTCCACTGTTCTTGGATCCTCTCCAAGTTAGTCTGAGGTGAACTTTGAACATCTCCTGGCATTTCATTTTCAGGAGGAAATATGTGCTTAGTTCTTATATAAGTTTCCAGGAACTCCAAGGAGCGACGATGACAATGCCATCCAATTACTGAGGACTGAAGCTGTTGAAATGGAAGAGGAGACATTTGGGGAGTGTAATTAGGAAACCAAGTTATACGAGAGTGGTGACAACAGATGACAATTCTAATGGCACTCTAGGGGGAAATCGAGCTCCTGAAGTTGTTCCAAACTAATTAAAAAAAGATGTCAAAAGAAACGTAATGAGGAAACAGCCCCTTCCAGGAAAAACTTTCCCCCTCAGAGAGGAAAATGGGAGAGATCATTTGTGAGGAAGGTGATGGGGAGGAGTTGGGGGAGGGGGGAGAAGGGGAAGGGGAAGGGAAAGAAAAGGAGGAGGAGGAGGAAGAGGAAGAGAAGGAGGGGGGAAGGGAGGAGGAGGAGGAGGAAGAGATGAAGATCTCTGATTTTAAAAGAACTTGTCTCCAGTTAAAGCCCAGACAAGCCTTTAGGACAGACAACGTTTGTCTTTCAAGAGGCATCCCTATGGTCTCTATGCCTTTAAAACATAGGGGGAAAAAAAAACCTGACCAGGCAACTCTTTCTTGAAAAACAGCTACTTAAGA